AAAATGAGAACTTTGATCTATGAGCCAACAAAACACCGAAATTATAAGTGACTAAATAAATGTAAGATTGCTGATATTCTCCAAGAAAATAAATGATATACACAAGATCGACATCTTTAAAAATACAGTTCATTTTCTTTATTCGTCTTGTCTACTTTTTGCCTTAATTTTTGGATTTTTGTTTTGTATATTTGATATTTCATCCAAGAAACACTTACTCCCGCCGAAAATATGTCAAACTTGATAAAAGCATGTTCGTGAATCTTAGCCATTATTATTTACTGCAGTACTCTATTAATATTGATCAATTATATATATATATATTTTTTACTCTTTCCGCACTGTGGGCACTAAGAGGACCTCTTATAGCAAGCCTATTATGGGTTCGGCTAAGCCCACAATGGAGCGACCGGGTGGTGAGGGACGGGGCCCGACATATCCGAAAAATTCCTGGGGGATTCCTTGACCCGTCCGAATTAATGTTCTATTTTGAAACCGATTTAATATATCTACAGTCGACCCCCTCACTTAATTTTACAAATACGTGTGCCGGGCTGTGAACGGCTCGCGTATCTGTAAAATCTAAGTGACCCGTACAACATGGAATTCATATAAAACAGAATTATCAACAGTGTTATAGGGGGGTCGACTGTATTTTAAAAATCCAGCAACGAGTTGCTTAACATTCCCGGCTGTTAAAAATATACTGTAAAAACTATTTTTTTTAATTACAGTAATACCCGGACTTACGCGATAGGTGGGACCGAGTGATAACCGCATAAGTCGGGGTATAATTTCGCAATTTGTGTAAAATCCAAGTCGGATGTATGTAAGCTAATAAATGCTCTCGTTAATCTTACCTCGTCTTTTGATTCGTTCATTGTTACAAGAAATCACCACATAGAGTCTCTCAAATCTCCTTAGATGTAACAAACACAGAAATAAATAACACAAAATAAATTGGAGCTATGCGTCGATTCCGCGCGATACGTTCGAATATGTAAGCTAAACAATAGTGTGGGGGGAGTGAGTAATCAAGAGTTGCGTGCCGCTCAAACAAAAGACGAATCGACGAGATTTGAAAATCGCGTAACTCCGTGTTCGCGTAAGTCGGGGTATTACTGTATTAGATTGTGTGGGGATGCTATAAATTATAAGTTTTGTTATAAAATAATTTTTATATTTTTAATTACGAAATGGCAAGACGCTTAATTTGAAGTTCGTTGAAGAATTTCATAAAAAATTGTAACAAAGATGTTAGTCATTAGCATTTAAGTCTGGCCCATATCCAGATATGACACCCCTGTATTTCCCCATTCCTTCGACCTTTCACAAACAAACTTTATAGAAATTTGATACGGTAATTTGTGCATAAAGGGCATTGATGCTATTAATCTTTGTCCAATCCTAGATATTAAAATGAAATAGGCGCCAGCGCAGACACGGAATTTTTTTTTTTTTTTTGCAGTTTTAGGTTGTCTCAAAACGTGATTTGCAAAACACTCAGGTCAAAATTGACAAGATTCCAATACTTTCCCTTATGTATACATACAAGGAAAGTTAAACCGGTTTTACCGAAACAATTAACTGAATTCGAGAATTTCCGATTTTTGCCAGCACTACTTACTTAGTGTATTAAATTTAAGATAATCGCTTTTAAATTTTTGTTTGAAATACCAGATGATAAATACGCTTATCGAAAATTTCCATTTTTAATTTTGTTAAACCAAAAGAGTAAAGAATTAGTTTTATTCAAAACAGTTAAAAAGGATTACGGAAAAGAGTGAAAACACGAATTCTGTGGAGATAATTAAAATTTAAGCATTAACGTTGATTAGCCATGATTCAAATACAATATGCTCAATATATTATTTTAAAAAATAAAAATTTGTACTATAAAGAAACTGAATAATTGAACTAAATCTTACCTTTCAGTCATTCGGCGATAGGTGAAATAATCGTAAATATTGATATAACTAGCTTACCCGTCGCGCATTGCTGCGATCTCAGAAGAAACGAAATTCAAGCAAACTCGTTATAATAAAATTCAATTTACATTTTATCATTTTTATTGAAACTTATTATTATATTATTCATTTTCATTGGAAAAATATTTCAAAGTGTCGTTTCAATTCTATTTATTTATTGGAGTGCTTGTGGATACACGATATTTTTTGTTTTTCCGTCTGGTGCGTACGGAAGATTTTTCCGACGCGTGAGCTGGCCACATACAGTTGTACTGTACATGTGAGAAGCACGGATTCTTTAAATTTAGCCCACATACTCGCAGACATTGTTAGAAGCGCGATATTTCCCATTTTTATATATATTTTTAAAAAATCCTTTATAATTTTGATTATTTAATTGCTCCTTCCTCTCTTCCTTGGCGTACGGAAGATTTTTCCGACGCGTGAGCTGGCCATAATAAACCGTTTTATTGTAATTTGTCTTTTTAAATTATTTTGAGTCGATATTAAAATTTGGAAAAGGGTGATCCCTAGATCGGTAAAATAGGCGAATTTCCTCCTACGACATCGGTTGTTGTTCGGGATACAGTTAAGGTTTTAACAAAGTTCGAGAGAATACATAATTAGCAAAAATAAAAGTTGAAATAAAGTGATTAAACAAAAATTATTACAAATATCGTAAATAACAAATGCACATATAAGAGAATTTTTTGGAGGGGGGAAATGGTCTTCACAATTTGAAATCCATCGAACACAGAACAGTGCTCGTATACACGCGCGCCATCTATCGTAAGATAAATGTACTTCGCGAGAGTGTATTAAAAAACTTTCCAAAGTTTCATGGCAATCGTACTATGCCAAAAACCTTCGCGGGAGTATATTAAACAACTTCACGTTTCACAGCAATCGGATAAACGGTGTGGTAATTCATGAAGGACAGACAAACAAACACACTCATTTTTATATGTATAGACCAGGGCTTCTTAAACTATGGGTCGCGACCCCATTTGGGGTCGCTTAGCAAAATCTTGGGGTCACGAGATTTCAGTGCAAAATATTGAAAATAATTTGAGAGTTTGAAAATGGCATGCTTTGTGTCTTAGGTTTCGTGAGTTGCGCTTTGTGTCACTTCTGGTGCAGCGAGACAACGATTCAGCAACACTGATTGTAGTGTGAACTAGTGTAGTGTTGTCGATTTTCAGTGTATTCAGTTGTCTCTGTTCCATTGTAACACAAGAGTGAACTGTGGTAGTACACCATTATTGCTTTTGCAAATTTGTATATATCTTTATTTTATATTTTTTT